CAGTAACAAGTAGCTTTTATAAATAGACTACAGATTTATAACTTCTAACACGTGGATAATATAAATTTATACTTCAATTTTGTCTTTAGTCAAGTGTCCTTTTCATTTTTCCTTTTTACTATTATTGTATTATCAGATATACTTCTAGTTATCGCCACCCTATAAATTCATAAATAAATATCATACTTATAGTAAACTTATTTCTCCTTATAAGTGCCTTTTGGTATGGAAACAACTGCATTAACGAAACCACGGAATGTTACTCATACTTTATACAAATTACACGACTGGCTAAGAAAAGGGTTGATTGATGTTAACCCTGAATTCCAGCGAGGTAAATAATATAATAAAATTTTTAAGAGATATGATGAAAAATGTTTTTGTATTAAACGTTTCGTGTACAATTTAATGACACTTCTCGTTCATGAATGCAGGCGTAGTCTGGCGAGGTACCAATTAATTCTATTTTATCTAAATGATTGATAATTCTTATTTAAATTTTGACAGGTTTATCATTTATGAATACATTTTAATGTCATTTGTATTTTAGATGTAAAACAATCCCACTTAATTGATTCGATCCTTAATAATTTTTACATTCCTCCCGTGATTTTCTCGTGCAAAAAAGTGGAGGGTACTAACAAATGGAAACGTGTTTGTATTGATGGAAAACAGAGATTGACATCAATTACGAGGTGGGTTACATGAAAGTTTTTTTTTTTTTTAGTGTTCGATATCACTAGGATCGTATACGATTTCGTTTAGTGATTTTGAAGTTTTAGATCTTAAGAGATCTTCACGTTAATTATTTAGATTTATGAATAATGAAATTCCTCATCATTCACCTGGAGGACATAGCGTGAAACGATATTATGATAAAGTTGAAGGATCAAACCACCCTGCGTTATCTGATGAGGAGAAGGAACTATTCGAATGTTTTGAGATCGTTTGTGGTAAGTTTATCGCTCATTATTACAAGATGGTATGTTAAAAATTCATTAATTTTTTATTTTACGTATAGTTGAATATTATGATCTCTCGTTGTCTCAAGAACAAGAAATATTCAGTCGCGTTCAACTTGGTGTACCGCTAACTGCAGCAGGTAATAAAATCGAAATTGCTTTTGTACAAGTTTTATAACTTTAAATTCATATAATATAATTCTGATACATATATATATTTATATATTTAATTATAGAAAAATTGGCAGTTATAAATACACCTATCGTCGACTTTGCGCAAGACCTTTATAAAAATTACCCATCAATATCGAAAATTATTGATACAACCAGAGGCAAACCACTTCAATTGATTTCTCAGACGCTACACATGATCGAACAAGAATCGGAGAAATTTAAAGCATCAATTGTATCTATTCAAAAATATTTACAAAACGGTCGAGAGGTTCCATTTGGACTTGCACAATCAGTTAAAAAAGTTTTTGAAACTTTGGTAACATTGATTGAGCTTGATGTACAAATGTTTCATCAAAACAACAAATTTTCACCTATTGAATTCGTATTCTTTTGTTGGATCATAGCAAAATTCCCAGATGTTGGGGTGATTGTATATAAAGATTATCTAAAACGGATGAAAGAATATGTTAGGAGATATCATGTAGATATCAGATTTAATCAAAATGTTTATGCGACTTTAAGAAGATTTGTTTCAGAGTTAGAGCAGGAACAGTATATGTCAGAAATGAATTTCTATGGTGGTTATGATGCTAACTATGATTCTAATGAACCATCAAGAAAGAGAATTAAAACCGAAGTGGATTGATTGATTGAAATCAAATTTGTTTTTTGTGAATATTTTGGGTGGATCACTTTTGTATGCGTATTATGCATAGTTTTTCTTTAATAGAAAGCGATCTATAATATTGTATAATTTGTATAGCTAAGTAGCATACATGGCATGATGTGTTCCGTTATAGTTTTGCTTTCTCTAAAATTTAGTATTTTTCTCTTGGCGATGATCATTCTTCGTATCCATATATAAAATTACATATTAAAAAATTTTTTTGTATTATAATTATCTTGTTAGACTAATTTTACCGAATGAGCCGAACCGGAATTATATAATATAAACTAATACTTGTATATTAAATTATCTACACTAGACCGAACGATGATGTGCAATGTGTCAAAATCTGAACGTTTTTCCTTATTTAGTTTAAAGATCAACCCTCTTTTTTTTGCAATATGAACCTTTAAAGGTAAAAGAAAAAACATTTACTTTTTAACCTTAATTGTATTTCATATAAATTTGATTAAATTTTAATTTACTATTGATACATATAATTTCGAGTTTTATTTAATTTAGTAAATTCTTAAGGTAAATATATATAAATGCAGATATTTCTAAAGTTGAAACCTATTTTACCAACTATATGGAAATAAATAAATTTGTTATTTTCGGCCCTAGGACAATTTTCATCCTAATTTTTTTTTTCTTTTTTTTTTTTAAAAAAAAAATGAGTTTTTTACAACATATCGTCTTTGTCTTTGTAATAATTTGTTTTTTCACCTTTGTTGAGCCGGCGGCACAAGAACAAAAGTATAACATCAATATAAACCCCTACAAAGGACCCGAAAAAAAGTATAATATCGTTCTTAAATTAAGTAAATCGGCTCAAAAGGAACATTTTGAATGGTTACAAAGTCGTTGTAATAAATATGTTAATAAGGTTACTAGAAGTATTCATAATATTGTTAATAAAAATGATTTAAGTGATTTTTCAGAGGAAGATAATTTTAATGTGTATAGTGGTTGGTTTAGTTCTGAATTTATTAATAAAGAATTAATGACAAGAAATGAAGTTGATATAGTTGAAGAAGATGGAGTTATGGAAATTGATTATATGATTCCGCGTGATATCCAAACTTCGAATGTACGTGAAGGTTTAGATCGTATAGATCAAATAAAATATCCTTTAGATCAAAGTTATTCTTTTCCTCATTCAGCAGGAAAAGGTGTTAATGTTTATATAGTAGATACGTAAGTGAAAATTCTTTTAAAAAAATTTTTTATAGGTAACATTCATTAAACTTTTGGAAAAAAAATAAATTTACATTTTTTTTCGAAATTTAGTGGCATTTATAAAGAGCACCCAGAATTTGAAGGACGCGCTAAATTTGGAGGTACTTTTTGTAGTGGTTGTGATAATGATGATGAAAATGGACACGGGACACACGTTGCAGCGATCGTTGCTGGTAAAACTTTTGGAGTTACAAAGAAAGCAACGGTGATTTCTATCAAAGTTTTTGGTCCTTCTGGTAAATGTAATAATTCTGAAGTTGTTAAGGGATTATCTTTCATTCTAAATGAACATAAGAAATCGAAAAATAAAAAAACTGTAGTCAAGTATGTGTGTATTAATTCTGAAATAATTCTTGAAGAATTTAATTAATTAGAATAGCTTTTTTTTTTAGCATGTCTTTTGGAGGTAAGTTTACGAAAGCCATAAATTCAGCAGTGAAAAGTCTCACGGATAATGGAATCCATGTGGTTGTGTCAGCAGGAAACGGAGGTAGTGACGCGTGCGATAGATCACCAGCATCCGAGAAAACAGCAATCACAGTCGGTGCTACGGAAGACGAATCAGATTTAGTTGCAAGTTTCTCCAATCTTGGAAAATGTGTTAATATTTTTGCACCAGGCAGAAATGTTGAGTCAGCAAGCATTTTCTCTAATAATGAAAGCAGGATATTATCGGGAACATCCCAAGCAACACCACACGTTGCAGGGGTAGTTGCCCTTCTTATTGCCAAAGATGGTAATAAAAGTCCAGCAGATATGTTTAAATCATTGGTTAAATTGTCAACCAAAAATATATTAAAATTCCCTAAAGAAATTATAGTTAAGGGTAGCCCAAATAATTTTCTGCGCGTACCTGCACCATAAATAATTATACAAAAATTTTTTGAGAGCATTTTTTTTAGTTAGGATTTAGAGTTAGAGTTTATAATCAAAAAGTACAAGTGAATTTTAGTGATTTATATTTTTAGATATAACCTAATTTTAGCCATTTTCAACTTTACCGCGATAATAATTACCGGTAGAAATTTAGGTAATACTGTATTCACGAATATATCGTTGTTGTCGATAATGAATAGGTAAATTTATAAGAATTACAGGAACAATAATTTAAAAATAAAAAAGACAATATTATGTATGAAGGCAGCGAAACAAATATATTCACAACCAAAATGGTTTTTAATATATTTGCATTATTGTTATCTTCACAAAAGATTTCTCTAAGTCCGGGCCATTTGATCACTAGCTACCTGCATAATAACAGCTAACACTCGGTATATTTCGGACTATAGTTATGTAAGATGAGAAAAATAAAAGTACATGATTGGTGAGTTAAGTAAGTATGATCTGAATTGCCAATATTATTATGGGATTCTGATCAGGAGATAAGTAAAGATGAAACTGATAACAGAAAATATTGATATAATATACTGATATAATGTAAGATATTATCACGTGAAATTAATGAAGGATATGTGTTAGTACAGTAGTACTGTATCTTAAAACGTGACATAGTACATACGTACGTACGTACAGTAGCCACCAAAAGTAACGCCCGATTTTTTAACAAAATGCAAATTTAAAATTTATTTTATTTTTGCTC